GAGACGACACGGTGTCACAACTCTTCAGGGTCGTCCGGAGACGATGTAGTGTTACAGCTCCTCAGGGTCTCCCAGTTCGTCTGGAGACGATGCAGTGTCAGCTCTTCCGGATCTTCAGGGTCGTCTGGAGACTGCGCGGTGTTTCAGCTCTTCAGGCTCTTCAGTTGTCGTCTTCCTGGTCGTTGTCGTCGTCTCGGTCGTCTGTGTCGTCTGGCTACTGTGGACCAGGCATCGTGGTTATATACACTCTGGTGGGTTGTAAACGGTGGGTCGTGATTGGTTGTAAACGGTGGACCGTGATTGGTTGTAAACGGTGGGCCCTGATTGGTTGTTAACGGTGGGTTATGATTGGTTGCTTTTGGACCAATCATGAGGTGCCAGATATGCAAATTTGAGGGATTCTAGTGGCCAATCAGAGCAAGGTTTCGAAGGTCAGGTTTTTGGAAGGGAACCAATCATGGTAATTGTTTGCTCTCTGAGAAACCTCGGCAGACTCGCTGGTGTGCAGCTTCCCACAAACAATAACTGAAAATTGGGGCCAGCAGGTGATGTGGTGGCTAAGGCACTGGGCTCCTACATGGCTAACCTGGTTCGAGTCACAGACCTGGCAGTTTACATTCTTATTTCCACCCCCCTCTGTCTCTCTGATGAGCATGCACACCCTGTAGCAAATTTTTTTTTTAAAAAGTAGTAATGATAAATAAAATTAAGTGATTCTTTTTAAAGAATTAAAAAGGTGAATTAACTCATAAGTTCATTTAATAATTCTTAAAAGAAAAAAAAAGGAAAGTAACATTTGGAATTAGGAGAAAGGGGTACTTTGAAAAGAAAACTAAAGGAAGAGAAGTCCAGGGGGCAAGAAAACTACCTTGAATGCTGGTGCTCACAAAAACTATGTACTCAATTTGGAAACAGGAAGTAGGAGCCACAGTGATCCATGAACGTCTCACTTCCAATGTGTCTGTTTCTCCATCCAGCTGCTGTCCATGGCTTTTCCTTTAAAGACAGAAACCCGCCTGTCTCCAAAATCTTATTTGTGGCCTCCGATATGCCTCTCAGTTTCAAGTGCATGGGCAGAACCTCAAATACCCACTTGTTCATTCTATGAACCCTGCTTGGCCGGCAGATGGAATGCAGTAACAGACAACAAAACATGTCCACAAAATACTACAGGAAGCACGATCTCTGCCTCAGGCCTACAGTTAATGGTGTGAATCATTCAAGGCAAAACAAAACGAGCATAACTAGTGTGAAAACACAGAGGGAAGGCTAATTTGGAGGCTAGGGATGACTCCCTGTGAGGAATTCTACCCACTGGCATGCTTAGGAAGATGGTAAGGCCAGCAGATTCAGACTGCATGGAAATGAGCAAGGGTGAGGGGGCAGCTGTGGGGCATTCCCAGGAGAGAACAACTGGCAAGGAAGCGAAACTTAGGGCACTGTCCCCACTCACGAGGCAGTAGGAAAAGTCAGTCACTCTAAACCAAGAGCAGTGTTGGGACACGGGGCCACAGCTGAAAGGCAACCATGAGACCTTGCTGTGTACCTCCCATCTTCCCTGGTTTTCCCCCTCGTGCCTGCAGATGTCCTTTGGGTGAAGAGTCTCCATGAGGCCACTCCTGCCTAAGTTGCTCTTAACCCCTGAATATTCCAAATCATTCAGCTCTTGAGAGGCAGCCGTCGGCCTGTGAAGTCTCCTTTTCAAGTGGTGACCTCTAAGGTGAGCTTCCTCTCAAGGCTTTGCTGGAGCAAGGGCATCCACTCCCACGTCCAGGACAGAGCTGCACTCCCTCTTCACAATACAGCCACTCCTTCCTTCCCAGCACTGCTGTCTGACCCAGACACTGCGATGCAGTCCTGTCCCCAGCCACTGGCTTTCTATTGCCACTATGCCTGTCTCCTGGCTATAGGATCAGCCATGGTTGATCTGCTTGTCCTTCTTCAAGTGTAGTCTATCCCCTCTGTTCATTGATTTTATGGCCTTCCTCACTAGCAGCCTTATGTCCCAACCCAGCAAGCCAGCACTGTCCCTCAATGGAAAAGTGAAATGCGGACAGGACAGATGACACTTAAGGATCATCTGGAATGGCTTTTTCTTAACAGATGAAAGATGTCTCTCTCTCTGAGGTGGTCCTTAATACATGGCCAAGGTTCCCTTGATTTTATCCATGGACTTGACTATACTTTTCAGTCTCCTGTGCTGAAGAGAAAACTGTAATTCACTGTATTACTTAAGTGACTATTTAAAATAACTGTCTTCTGTCTTCACTGATTAACAACGTACTGGTTCAGGGCCAGCAGGTGTCATGGTGGTTGAGGTGCTGGACTACCACATGGCCAACCATGGTTTGGGTCCCAGATCTCGCAGCTTGCTTTCTCTCCATTTCTCCATGTCTCTCTCTGGTCAGATTTTAAAAATGATGATAAATAAAATGTAATAAATATTTCTTTTTAAGAAAAAAGCCTTTAAAAAGTATATTGGTTCAGGGTGGTCTTAACACAATTTAGAGGTGAGATAAACATCTTTCTGGCATGCAAAGTAAGTTCTGAAAACCAAAAGGCATTTATCAGTCCAGTGCCAGCCACTCCTATTCTGATGATAACCCAACAGAAAATGGCTCCATTTTTACTTTTTTTTTCCTTCAAAATCCTTACATGCTTTGCTTTATCAGAACATTTGTCATTCTCCTCTGGACACCCTGGTCTATGAGGTGAGCTCTGGCTCCCAGCCATTCCCCATACTTCAGCTGTTCCTGGCAATGCCTTGCTTCAGCTCAGATGACCCTTGTTCCCACCCCACCCCCATCCCCCTTTCACCAACCAACAGGCACCTTTCTCCAGGCCCCGGAAGTCAGGAAAACCTACTGATGAGTTTCTATCACCTGAAGAACCTCCACATTTCAGAAAACATTTCACACAGAAGAGTTCAGAATCCTGGGAATCAGTTTGCATTTTATTTTACAGTACATTCATATAAGTTCCTGCATTTCCAAGGTAACCAGATCACATTCAGGTTAGCACTGCTGGTAACAAAATCATACAACTTACCCTGGCTTCAAAAACAAGATGGCGTGATGCACATTAATACTTCTTTCCCTTTAATACTGCAGAATATATCACAAAATAAAATCTCTAACATCCCATGCCTTTTAAAATCCAGTGTGAAGGCATATTATTTGTTAAAATTAAACCATATGAGAAATGGGGAAAATAAAGAGTTTCAAGGCTCTCTGAAATTCCCTCAATGCCACCTTTCTTTTCTAACTGCCAAGTTGGCACATTCAGTTTCAATGCCTTGGACACTGAAAAGAGAAACAGAGGAAAGCAGGGGGTCATTTAATTCCAAAATTCATGGCTTTTCACACTACTTCTGTAAAAAAAATTACTTAACCTAAAACTCTAAAAACAAGTTAATATGAATATGAATCTTCATAAGGGATGTTAATACAGGAAACACCTGCGAAGAAAAACATCCTCTCGTCACTGACGGGAAATTTAAGCTGCAGACATTTCACATGAATGGAAAAGCCAGGGCAGCTCTGTGGCACAGCGGTAAAGAGCTCTTCAATGGAAGCTGGATTCCACATGGCGACCACAGTTTGAATACTTGGCCCAGGCAACCTGAAACACATGGGCAAGTGTCCAATATCTGACAGGCTGGAGGACGGAAGGAAAGAGATCATGGCCTGACCAGACTGTGGAGGGTGGTCCTTTCCTTCTCTCTTCCTCCCTCTCTCACTCTTGGTCTCAGGTGCACCTACACGTGCCTATCATGAGTAAAGGAAAGAAAATGGAAGGCTGTATCACACCCAGCAATACGTTCAGTTGTGGACACTTTCGTTTCACCAAATGAAAACACTATGATCCATGTTCTGGTCTAGAACTGGTTCAAATTAGGCAGAGGAAAATTCGGATATGTGAAAAAGCAAGAAATTAGATTTGTTTGGGTCTTTTTCCTAGATAAAAAAAAAATATCGTTGTAAAATGCTTTGGACCCTGGTCCAACCCCATTGGAATGGTAAGTTACCGAAAAATCCTCCATCCAGAAAGACAGTGTGCCAGGCAGCACCTTTCATTTAGAAGTTCAATGTGCTTTAGGTATCACTTGACTACAAAATTAGGTACATGATTCAGAATATACTCAGACCTACTGTTAAGTCCAGTGACTAGAGAGCCCCTGCCACTTGCTGCCAAAAAATGAGTGAATCCTGAACTCACCAGGTTGTGAATGAAACTGATAACACTCATTTGTTGACCCCAAAAGAAATACCACTACTTTCAAGGCAGAAAAATATAACAGAAGAGAGAATAAGACACTTCTTTAAAAAGCCATGAAACATCTTATAAAAACCAGAGCCAGTGCATATTTCACAACCCCTGAAGAAAGGCCCCCACAGCAGGGTAAGCGGAGGGAGCAGTGATGTTTTTGAAACCAGAGTGACTTGCAGTGAACTGCCTAACAGTAAATTCACAGAGTAAAATGCATAATAAATCGACATATAACCAAGGGTTTACACTGTATTTAGAAATATGTTTTATGCTTTAAAAAAAATTACAATGCACTCCAAAAAAAGTTTTCTGATAATTCATGTACAACGGAAGGCACTGTTATCCGCATAAATCCATTGATTCTGCATGGCGAAAACCTGAGACGTGCACATTGATCCGGTACTCTAAAACCGCCTTGGGCATTCAGCCATTGGAGCTTATGGTCTGTCCTCTTTAGTCCAATGACTGTTTTTCATCAATTTCATAGGTTACAGTAACTGTTTGAAATATGTATTTCCGGGTGGGCAAGGTCAAAGGGGAAAGGTGGAGTGGATGAAAGTGCTGCCTAATGCCAGATGGTAACCAGCATGGCAGGCGGCTCTGGAAAGCAGCCCCCACACACTCCCCTTGACGCTCACACTCCCCTGTGAAGTCAAATGGGGCGATGCCATTTGGTCAGCCGAGCTGCCTTCCTTCAGTTGTTGCTGGGCACAGGACCAAAGTTAAAGGCAGAGAGGACACCTTTGTTTTCAAATGTGAAGCCTCCTTGTTGTTCAATCTTCTTCTTTGCCTCTAGCATTTTCCAAAAGAAAGAAGGGGGGAAAAAAAGAAGAGTACTTCAGGTGATAAAGTTGGAAATAATACCACAGGGGTAAAATTCTTTATATACTTCGAGAATCATGAAGGAATGTGAGCGTGGTATTATTCTGCCCATTGAACAGCAGTCTTTAACAGACGCACGTTCATCAACAGTTACGTCCACTATTATGGAAAAACTGTTTGCTGAAAATGTGTGAAATGGAAACAAGTTTCCAAGCTGGGTTCTATTAGCTTTCCTGTCGCTACTGCTGAAAGAACATCCAGGTTTTGCACAGCAGGAGGGCTGACAGAGAACGGGTGAGAACTGAAAATCTAAGTCTATATGGCAGAACTAGAGTTCTGAACCCTAAATGATGATGTTTCCTACTAAAATATTTTTGTAATTTAAAATCGTTTCCATTGGTAATCTAGAAATGACCATAATAATCTCAAAATAACTTCTCTAGGGATCAGCAGATGACATAATGGTTACATTGCTGGATTCCTACATAGTCAACTGCAGTTCAAGTCCCAGACCCAGAGGTTTGAAACTCACACTAGGTGTGTATGCAGGTACGTGTGCGTGTGTATGCTCAAAATCCCAAGAGAAGAGTAGAGAAGTGAATGCAGCGATGCCACCCAACTCTGGAGGGCGATTTCTTGCTTTCTGTCTCTCTGGTGAACACACGTGCCCTGTGGCAAAAATCTCTCTTAAAAATAATAAATAAATAAATAATAACTTCTCCAGCTTAAAAACTGAGAATCAAGGACCAGCAAGAGGCATGGTAGTTAAGGCAGTTGGATCCCCCATAAGGTCAACTGCAGAGTTCATGTCTCAGACGTGGTGGCTTGAAAAACACACCAGGCATGTGTGCATGCATGCCCAAAATTCTGAGGAGAATAAAGGAGAAGGGGCTGCTGTGTGGTCATCTTCCCAGAGGTGATTTCTCACTTTCTCAAGAACTCATAAAGCGCCTTTGGTCTGTCTGTGATGGCTGACTCAGGTGATTAAGTCTCCCTCAGCAAGGCTCATCCTAACCCTTACTTCTTATACCTTTGGCTCCACAACAGGACAAGGATGTGAATGAGAACACCATTAATAGATACGTACTCTTACACAGGCTTTTGCAGAGCTAAGATATCATCATGGGCCATTACACAGAATCAACATAAAATAATGACAATTCCTTATTATTATGAAGGCTCTCAAGATTAAATACCACCCCTGTTCAAGTCCCAGACCTGGTGGCTTGCTTTCTCACCTTTCTCTTCCTCTCTCTCTCTCTCTGTCTCTCTGGTGAGTGTGCATGCCCTACAGCAAATTAAAAACCAACAATAAATTAAATTAAATAAATCTTTTAAAAAGAAAAAAAGGCATTTAGGTGCCACCTCACTCATCAAGGACGGCTGACTACTGGCACTCTGAGACATGCACTCCCATCTGGAGATGACTCTGGCTGACCTGCCACCGTCCTCCGGTGCTCTGCCAGTGTGTACACTTCCTGCAGTGCTCTCCTCTGATCCTCGCTGAGCGGGGCCATCAGCAGCTGGTACCAGGCAGCATCCCGATTCTGCACAGCTATTGCATTTTGTGGGTGCATAAGGAGAGGAGAAGGAGGTATTAGAGTTCAGTGACCATGGTACAAGAAAACAACTAGTGACATGAACAAATGACAATGAAGTTATCTCAGTAAGAGACAATGAGTATGACATACAGGAGTACGACGAACACAAGGTGATAAAATTATTTCCAACAAAGAATTCTCTTTGAGTACCCAACTACACGAAGGATCAAAGGAAGGTCAGGACACTAAACCTCTAATCCACCGGGTCCTCTGCCTCTCTCTGTCGTCTCCCTTTGCCTAGGGCTTCACTTGACTATGATGGTACCTAAAGTCTGGATCTTGGGAAACACCTATACTCACCTATTATGATTTTCCTCTGGGATTTCGAGACTACCTGCGGCTTCTCAAGTCTGTACCTTTAGGCAAAAATCTCCCAAGCCTCCTGGACTTTTCTATCTGAATAGCTCACTTCAAATTCAGCACAACTAAAACCAATTTATGTTTTCTTTCCAGACCCTCTTCATCTTCCCATTTCCATCACTAGTTCTGTGCAAGGTCTTTGAAAAGTTCATAGAAAATATGTACTATGAGAAAATAGTGTATGGATTTCAAAACTTTATGCACCAAAATAAGCTCTTATTTTCATTCCATTTTTCCACAAACTTGAAGTTCCTTCATATTCGTCTTCCAATTAGACACCGTAAACCCTTAACTACGAAAATATGATTTAGCCAGGCCAGTTGCAGTGGCACAGTACTGATGCGCGTGCCACAGGGCTGACGCCACATGGAAAGTCCCAGGTTTGCTATCTGAGGTCTGTGCAGTGCACAACATTTGCACACACACACATCCCCGTGAGCCTCGCTGGCTAGGATGGGCACAGATTTGGCCATAAAGACCCTGCTGGGAGCACACCTCCTCTCTCTCATGTAAGCTATATAAATAAACAAAAACACTATCTAACCATAACCTATAGTAATGGGATTTCTGGTATATATTATCTATATTAATCAGATTTTTATCATTTCTTTTAGCTTTGAATAATTTTATAAATATCTTCATTGGCTTATTTATTTTTTCTTTTGTCTTGTTTTTACTTAAAGACAGGGCCTTAACATGTTACAATCTTCCTGCCTCAGGCTCTTGGGTAACTGGGATTACAGGTGTACCCTACTACACCTGGACTTATTACTTATTTTTATTCTGTAAATTTCCCATTTACAGGCCGGCTCTGTAGAACAATATTAATGCACTATTCAAGGAAAGCTAGATCCCATACGTTAACCATGGTTCAAATCCCCCCAGCACAGTCAGCCCAATGTATGCTAGACATGTGCACAAGTGCCTAGCATCCAAAGGCTGGAAGTCTAGAAGAGAATAATGGTGTGACCAACTCTGTGGGGAGTGCTCCTCCTTCACTCCCTCCCTCCCTCCCTTATTCTCACATATGCATGCACTCTGTCATGAATAAAGGAAAAAACTCCTAAATTTCCCATTTGTATCTCCATTTTTACAACAGGTTACTAGTCTTATTCATTTGTAGAACACCTGTATCTCTATGGATCTTTTTTTTTTTTAAATTGACAGAGGGCATGTGTGCTTGCCAAAGAGACAAAGAAAGTACCACCTCCTAGTGGGGCACGATCATGCTACAATCCTTTCTCCCCAACTTCTTCATCCTGCCAGAATTTGGGGCACGTACACACATGTACTGGGCATGTTTTTCAAGCTACCAGGCCCAGGATTCAAACCATAATAAGCTATGTGTAATCCAGCTGCCTTAAATTTCTTTGCTACAGGGCCAGCCCCATATGGATCTTATTAAGTGAGTCTATGATACATATGCAGCAATTTTTTTCCTCCCAATCTTATGGGTCCTTTAACTGTATTATTAGTGCCCTTTACCATACGAGAATGGTAAACCGCTTATTAGTGAACAGCAGCTCTCTTACAGCAGCTGAACTCTGCTCCTTTCCACAGGTATTGTGAACTACTAATCAGTTTATAGCCACAATTTTAAAACAATATATACCTAAAATACATTATTCTTGTCTATAAAAATGCATGTTCATTTATACCTAAAGGATGAACAAAATGTTCAGATACTCTTACTTGAAATTACTTATGTGAGGATAACCTACAGGCTCACCCTCCTACTTTACATCATGAAGGCTGCTCAGACAGGGTGGCAGATGTTTTTTTTAATTATTTTATTTAACTTTATCATTATTTTTTTAACTTGACCAGAGAGATACGGGGAGAGGGATGGGGGGTGGTAAAGCAAGCCACCAGGTCCAGGACTCGAACCACAGTCAGCCACGTGGGAGTCCAGCACCTCTAACCACCATGCCATCTGCCGGCCCCAGGTATTTTATTATTTTAATCTCTCTCTTTTCATATACATTTGGGAAGATCTATCATAAAAAATGAATAAAAATTTTTAAAGAGTCTAGCCCAATATTGGACAGATCCCAAAACAACTTCTAATAGGAAAAAATGAAGAATGAGCTTAAAAAAAGTGTCTCAAGCGACAGGAAGCGCAGACATACTTAGCAGAGCTTGTGTGAAGAACTGATATTCGTCCACGCTGCTGTCAAGGTCAAGCGGGGTGCTGAACCCCTCAAGGGCAGTTTCTTCCAGTACTTCTTCATCCCAGTCATCGTCGTCGTCTTCCTCATCTTCGCCTCTCCCGTTATTTGGCTGCACTGCTTGAGCAGTGACATTAGTCTCCTCTTCATCACTTGAAATCTCCTCTGTAAATTCGTTCGTTATTTGAGAAGAAGAATCAAAATACATAAGAGCAAAATATTAAATTCCATGAAAAAATGAAAATGATAAAATATTTTGGAAAAGAAAATACTACATCATTTTATTTAAGATAATAAAAATTAGGTAATTTTAAGTAAGATTAGAAAAAATATTTAAATTTCACAAGATATATATAAAAACTGAGAATGACTTTATCCTCCTCACCAAAAACAAGTTCCCTAAATCTGTGGTCCAGGTGAACAGCATTACTGTTAGGCAGTAACTGCCTTGTGTTCACTAATATAAGAATACTGAACTGTAGATTCCCAAATAAATTCATTTTGCCAAAAAAAAAAAATGTTTAAAGACATAATTTGATTGATTCAGCACTCAGTGAATGTGTTTTAAATAACAATAATCTTCCATTGCGAATTCAGGTCTCTTAACAATTAGCTGATTATAACCTGCTCAGAGATGCCCAAATGAAAAGGTTTATTTCTACTACAGAAAGAGTAAAAACATACAATTTAAAGAAAAATAGTTACACGTGGCTTCAGAAGTTAAAAGCTGAACTATATACCACTATAAATTCTGTATTTAGGTTCAGTGCCAAACTAACTGAAACACAGAACAAAAATCAACATAAGAGGGAAAGCCTGCTTGGGGAATAATCCAAACTAGACAATATTAACCTAAAACTAGTTTCATAAAACACACCATACTAAAGCAGTTAGACTAAACTATAAGGTAGTTGTAGTTAGAAACTACAGTTTGGGACAGCCCCTTAGCACAGCAGAAAGCTGGATCCCACATGTGAATATCAGCCCCACAACCTGAAAAACTCACCAGGTAGTTATGTGTGCCCAAAATCCTGAGAAGAGGGGGAAATGCAGGAAAAAAGATTGCAGCATGACCATGCCCCATTGGGAGGTGCTTTCTCCCTCCCTCCCTCCCTCCCTCCCTCTCTCTCTCTCTCTCTCTCGCTCGCTCGCTCGCTCTCCCCTCCTCCTTAAGTGGTGAGCGCACATACTCTCTGGCAATAAAATAATAATAATAAATAAATAAAAAGAAATCACAGTTTGGACCAAATACATCTAAAAAATACATGACATAGTTATGATTACAAGGACAGCAAGAAATACCTTTGCCTGATGGGCAAATGAGTTGAACAGACAACTCTCTAAGAAAGTCATGGACCAGCGGACGGCATAATGGCTATGTCGCTGGACTCCCATGTAGTCAACCGTGGTTTGAGTCTCGGACCTGGTGGCTTAAATGCATGCTGGGCGTGTGTGCGTGCATGCCCAAGATCCCAAGAGGAGAAAGGATTGTGGCGTGGCCATCCCCCCTGGGGGGCGATTTCTCATTTTCTGTCTCTCTGTCTCTCTCTTTCTGGTGAGCGCACGTGCCCTATAGCAGAAACCTCTCCCCAAAAAAAGAAAGACAGACATATGAACAGCCAAAAAGCATATGAAAAGATGTTCAAGGGACAAGCAGTTAGCGTAATGGCTATGTCACTGAACTCCCATGTAGTCGACCGCAGTTCAAGTCTCGGACCCGGTGGCTTTAACTCACGCAGGGCGCATGTGCGTGCCTGCCCAAGATCCTGAGAGGAGAATGGAGGAGAAGGGATTGCGGCATGGCCATCCCCCCTGGGGGGTGATTTCTCAATTTCTCACTTTCTCCCTCTCTGTCTCTTTCTGGTGAGCGCACATGCCCTATAGCAAAAACCTCTCCAAAAAAAAAAAAGATGTTCAATAACCCTTATTGTAAGTAAGATGCTAATCAAAACCACAATAAGATACCACCTAACCCCAGTCAGAATGGCTAAGATTAAAAAAATAAAAAGTAGTAAGTGCTGACAAGACTGTGGTGAAAAGGAAACTCTCACTGTTGGTGGGAATGTAAATGAGTCCAGCCACTGTAGAGAACAATATGGAGGCTCCTCTACAGCTACTAATAGAAATACCATATGATGCTGGATCATATGGTAACTCTATTCCTCTCCACAGGATAGGCGAACACTCAATCAGAAAAACACTTGCATGTCCATGTTTATTGCAGCATTATTCATAATTGCTAAGACATAGGACCAACCCAAATGTCAAAGAACAGATGAATGGATTGAAAAAGTATAGCACATAGACTCTTATGGAATACTACTCATTCATTAAAAAAAAAAAAAAAAAAGATTTGGCACCAAGTGGACAAATATGAAAGATTTACTGTAAGTGAAGTGAGCCAGACTATAAAAGACAGGCATTGTATGTCTCTACTCAATATATACTGAACGTCTGCATTCTACGGCAGAAACTGAAAGACTAGAAGATATAAAAGCATGGAGAACCACTGTGGAAACTATAGACAGTGTGGGAGGAGGTGGGGGATGGGGGAGGGTAAGAGGAAAGGAATCAAGGAGGAAAAGAAAGAAGCAAAACATTTAAGGGACAGGAAAATGGAAATTTTTCTGTTTTATATTTTGTATTATATTTACCATGTGTGATAATATCTGTAACTGGATTAATATGCAATGTATTCATGCTGGGAAAATTTATTTTAGAAGCTATAATGATAAACAGTGATTGAATATATTAAATTAAAAATATATAAATAAATTTGGGAATATAAAAAAATGAATAATTATCTGTTGATGATAATGTGTATGATAATATCTTTAACTGGACTAATATGCAGTGAATTCATGTTGGGAAAATCTACTTAACATGCTATAATGATATACAGTGATTGAATGTATAAAAAAATATATTTTAAAAAAGGAACTTAGTTGTAATATAAACAATGTACCAGAGTAATTACTTAAACATATGAAAGCATTAGTAAGAAGTTTGGTTAGGGGGCAGCAAGTGGCATAGTAGTTAAGGCACTGGACTTCCATGTGGTCAAACATGGTTCAAGTCCCAGAGCTCCTGGCTTGAAATTCACACCGGGTACATGTGCATGCGTGCCCAAAATCCCTATAGGAGAATGGAGGAAAAGGGACTGTAGCATGGCCATCCCCCCTGGGAGGTTATTTCTTGCTTTTTGTCTCTGTAGCAAGTATACACCCCTATAGCAAACAAAACAACAACAAAAAAAAAAACAGAAGTTTTGTTGAGCCTATGGGAAAAAAGTATTTTTCCCCATTTTCAGCATTTAAACATTTTTGAAACATTATCTCTATCTTCCATTAATTCTGATGCCTATTCAACCCCAATCCAATGTATTTGTATGTTCTGTGTCCTCTGGTTGAGAAGACAACTTTCAATATTTTTTTCTTTTTTATGGTTCCCACTGTGAGGTATTTATCCTTTTAAGGGATAAACCTTCTCAGAGATAAATACTTCACATTTATCCTTCTAAGGGATCACTAAGTTTTCTGAATTGTATATTAGTAATTTCATTTTTCTAATTAAACATTATTTTATCTTTTTTCATTTTTAAAGAATTATTTTATTTTAGCTTTATTTATTTATTTTTATTTGATCAAAGAGGGACAGAGTGAGAGTGAAAGCCACCAGGTCCAAGACTCAAAACTGAGGTGGGCCATATGGGAGTCTAGCACCCTTAACCACCAAGCCACCTGCCGGGCCCACATTATTTTATCTTAAAACAAAACAAGAAATACTTTTGTCAGTTAATTACTTCATACTTTAGTAGAAAATTCAACAAGAAAATCTGGACTATTGTTAGAAAACAATCACCTTGGGCCATAACAGTTAGAAGTCAATAAAAAGTTATTAACAAAGCAAGAAATTAGAAAAAGAGCATCATAACACACTGAAAAAAAGAATTCTGTAATTTCTGGCATATAGTCAGCCAAAACAATAAACAAAAAAATAATCCTAGTAAAGAAGCACTACTTCAGAAGACCTACAGAGAATTCAGTAAAACAAATTAGAATCTATTTTTTATGTTGATGTGGAAGAAGAGCAGTTGACAATTCTTCTTTTTTTTATTTTAAAGATTATTTATTTATTATTATTAATATTATTTTTCACATGAGTTTTGCCAGAGATGGGGAGAGAGAGAGAGAGAGAGAGAAAGTGAGAAAGGAAGCTACCAGGTCCAGGACTTGAACCATGGTTGGCCATATAGGAGTCTAGCGCCTTTAACCACCACACCACCTGCTATTCTTATTTATAAATAAGCTTAAATAAAATAAAGGTCTGTAATATTCTCGACTGTAACAAATTTTATTCTGACTCAATTTAGTGAATAACTTTCATTTGTATACATTATTCTAAATTTGTATTTAAATTATAATTTTTAAAGAATTATCTATTTAATTTTATTTATTCATTCATTTATTTTAATTTGACCAGAGAGAGTGGGAAAGCAACCCACTGGGTCCAGAGCTTGAACTGTGGTTGGCCATGTGGGAGTGTCCAGCGCCTCCACCACCACATACCACCTACTGGTCCCCAATTATAATTTTTGATAAGTCACCGAAGAACTGTTTCGATTTTTGTTTTTAAAATCAGACACACTCCATTAATATGGTATACTGAAACTTCTGCTCTTAATTTAATGGTTCACGTGACTCAAGGCTTCTGCCTTTATTGAGGCTGCTGGCACAAGAAAATGAAATACCAGGTTGCTAACTTTTTGATTCTGTTACAAATCTATGACCCAATGTATAATATCCACTGGACTCCATTTTTTAAAAACTGAGTGTTAATTATTAAAAGTTTCAAGAGGTACATCATTCTGGGCTAGCCCTATAACACCATTGTTAGGTGCTGGACATTGGGAACCAGAGCCACATGGCCAACCACAGTTCAAGTCTCAGCCCTCACAGCTTCAAAACCATGCCGGGCTTGCGTGCATGTATACCCAAATCCTGACAGGATGAAGAAATGGAGGATGTGGCATGACCAAATCCTTTTGGGGAAATGCTTTCTCTATCTCTCTGTCTCATTCCCTGATAGGCACACATACACTATGGCAACTAAAAAAAAAAAAAGAGAGAGAGAGAGAGATAAAAGAGTTACACAAATCTAAATGTATACTACATGATATAATTAATAACAATTCAACCAAGCTCAAAATATTTGTTAGATGTGCAGCAAACCAAATTATTTAAATCTGTTTAAAGACTCCAATAGACTAAAATTCAAAGAAAATACATGCCCATTCATTGCAATCAGAAGACTTTACCATTTTCTTCCATGTCGGCTTTCTCTGCTTTTGATCGATCTTCCCGGTTTACCAGTTGTCTGGTAGCACAGACTTGCTTCAAACCAAGAAAAAGGAAAAGGATTGAGGGCACAATCTGTCCCACCACAGCATCTACTGCAGGAGGTCGATTCTGTAATTCCAAAAGGATACTCAGTCCTATTATACACATCTTCCGGTCATGATGCCTGCAAATTTTGAAGAACAACAACGACAGAACGTGCACATGAGAAATGGAATAAAGGACAATTTGGGGAGAAACTACAGAAATATTCAATGTATACTCTAAGGTTCATTCATTGGACTTACACAGAAATATCTCCCTTTTTTAGAATTATTTATTTAATTTTATTTTATATTATCATTGTTTAATTCGACCAGAGAGAGAGAAAGTGAGAAAGCAAACCACTATGTCCAGGACTCAAACTGCAGTTGGTCATGTGGGAATCCAGTGCCCCAATCACCACAATACCTGCTGGCCCCAGAAATATCTCCCATTTTTTATTATATGAAATCATAAGTAAACCAAACTTTGCAAAGCAATTATTATTGTCAAAGAGCTCTGGGAGTCACACTTAACATGGTGAATCTTGCTATAAAACCAATTTATGATTAATATACATGCTAACTATGTGTAATGTTGGTACAATGAGTTTGTTTTGTTTTGGGTTTTTTTGTTTGTGGTTTTGGTTTTTTTTTTTTTTTTTTTCTTTAATCTACATTTCTTTTAATGCTGACTTTATTCCTGTGCCATAGTTTTTGCTTCTTCAGTTTCTTCTGGGATATCTTTTCCTTCTGTGCAACCGCCACATCTGGTTTAGGAACAATTTCCTCCTTCCCAGTAAAAATCATCTTGATGTGGCAGGGGTACTCATATATGGGTTAATTCACCCAAGAGCTCTGTAAGTATGACAATGCACCTTGAGTGCCTTGTTCACCTGAATATGCTCAATGACCAGAGAGTCTACACCTATCCCCGTAAGTTCAGCATTACTCTCTCCATTTTTCAGCTTGTGTAACCAAAATTCAGCACTCTTTTTGGGCCACAAACCTGGTGTCCAGCCCCACTGTTGGCCTGGGCACATCTATCGACTCCATCCCTGTAACAATGGAATGGCACACACTGCTTCTATAAAGTGACATCTTTCAGATACTCAGTGGCTTTTCAGATATGCATATCCTTGATGGCCTGGGCAGTTTCATGGGTGTTTAAGTGAACACAAAGAATTTTATTTTTTGGAGAGGTTTTTGCTATAGGGCGCATGCGCTCGCCAGACAGAGAGATACAGAGAGACAGAAAGCAAGAAATCACCCCCCAGGGGGGACGGTCACGCCGCAATCCCTTCTCCTCCATTCTCCTCTCGGGATCTTGGGGGCATGCACGCACACGTGCCCGGCGTGAGTTTTAAGTCACCAGGTCCAGGACGCGAACCGCGGTCGACTACATGGGAGTCCAGCAACATAGCCATTACACTAATTGCTGGTCCCAATGAACACAAAGATTTGGGCCTCTTGAATTGCATGACTTTGTGGAGTTATCTGGGTCATGTGAATAATGAACCATTTTCAAAGATCACCTTAGGCCACTTACAAGAAGAGGTATAATGAGTTTTGTTACCAAAAATATGTATTTGACACCATTAAATTCCCATACAATGAAAAAATTAAAAAATTCCAGGGGACCAGCAGATAGCATAAAGGTTATGTTGCTGGACTCTGATGTAGTCGACTGCAATTCGGATCCAGGAAATGGCAGCTTAAAACTCATGCCAGGACAGCAGGTGGCATGGTAGTTAAGGGCACAGGACTTCCACATGATCAACCGCAGTTCAAGCCCCAGAACTGGCAGCTTGCTTTCTCACTCTCCCTCTCTCTCTCTCTCTCTCTCTCTCTCTCTCTCTCTCTCTCTTGTTCTGCCCCTCTTTGGTCAAAATTAAATTAAATGAATAAATAAAGTTAAATAAAATAATTCTTTGGGGAAAAAAAAAGAATTTCTAAGGATCAGCAGATGGCATAACATCACTGAACTCCCATGTAGTCAACTGCAGTTCCAGTCCCGGACCTGGCAGCTTAAAACTTGTGGCGGGGGAACCAGCAGTTAGCGTAATGGCTATGTC